AGATGGGCACAGTGCAGGGCACAGTCGGTGCTAGCCAGAGGGCACTGCCTGTGTCAGTCTGAGGGGTCGCTGCTGCAGATCTCCTGCAGCCTCCTCCCAGGTTTCAAAGAAAGAGCTGCACCCGATTGACAGCGAAGGTCTTTGCTGAACCAAAATTCCATGCATCTTGGAACTTAATGACCTTGAATCATTATGCAAATTACCATTTTGTGGACTTTGCTTTAAAATATAGATGAATCTATGACAGATTGGCATGAATTTTGCTTAAAACTTTGATACAGAAAGTTGGCATTTTAAGTGGTGAAACCCACCAATTCAGAAAGCTCCACCCTCCAGGACGAGCCCTTGCAGAGCATTGGCTGGGGCTCGATTCATTTCTAAGGGGCTGTTCCCAGAGGCCCTCTCCTTCCGACATCAGGATCTCTGATTCCGTTTAGGGTTCTGCTGGGAAAGGCTGACCAGGTCAGGGCTGGGACGACGGATGGGGCGCGAGGCCCCAGCACCAGCGCTTCCCGGCCACACAGCAGTCACCTCCGCCTGCGTGGCTCTCCTCACGCCCATGGTGTGTGAACTCGGGGTATGTCTGAGCGTGTAAAGGAAACTGCTGCAGGACTCACCCTGGTAGGGGTGGCTGGCATGGCCGGCCAGCGGCTCCGCAGCTCATCCAGGCTCGGGCTGCTGTGGGGTTCTGTCTGCACTGTGGGACACTTCCACTGCGAAGCCAGAAAATGGCTGCTCACCGTCACACGTGGGTGTGAGTTCCCCTGGGAGAACGGGAAGGAACAGAGCCAAAGCCACAGCTCTCCACACCTGTGGGCTGGGCCTGATGGCCAGCAGCCTCTGCAAGCCTTCCCTAGGTGCCGTGGTCCTCCACGCCGGTCAGTTCTGTTGGTGGGGAGAGGAGAAGGGGCACCGACGGAAGTACTAGCGCCTGCCCTGCTGCTGCGGGACACCCTGCCGTGTCCAGGGGTCTCCTGTGGTTCCCTTGTACGTCTGTCCATCACGCAGTGAACGCCACTGGGCGGAGCCGCTGTCCTAGATCTGACCAGAGTGTCCACAGACCAGGCCGCCTTCGTCCTCACGGATTCTGCAGTGTTGAGAGAGGGAGAGGTTAACCTGATAAACACCGGAGCACTCGCACGTGCTGTCCAGAGAACCTACTGAAGGGGCCGAGCCGTGTTGTGCGGGAGGCCAGGTGACGAGTGGCGCAGCGTGCCCTGGGAGGGCTTTGCTCACCTGGGCGTGAGAACGACCCGCAGAGTTATGTGGGGTGAGGGCATTCTGGGCACAGGCCAGCAAGCGCAGAGGCCCTGGGTGAGGCCCGCGTGACGTCTGGAGAAACAGTGAGACCAGTGCGCGTGGAGCAGGAGTGAGAGCGGGTGTCGGCGCTGCGGGTCTAGGTAAGAACTCTGCAGGGCAGTGTTCCTGTCCCCACGCTGGCTGCCTCGTCAGGCTCTCTCTGCTACCTGTGCAGAGTTGGGGAGGGCTCAGCAGGTGGACTGGTGGCAGCTGTCCTCGTAACCCGGAGCCTGGACTGGCGCGTGGCGGCTGAGATGTGGTCAGACGTGGTCAGGTTCTGGGCAGGTTGCTGGCCCAGAGTGGGTGTGGGAGAACGCGAGGCAGCAGGACCTGGGCTTTCGGGTCTGAGCTCCTGGAGGGCGGGAGCCATGGGCGAGGCCGGGGGAAGAAGTGAAGAGTGGGTGGGTTGTGGACACACTGGACGCGCGAAGCAGGCGCCCCAGGCCCTCCTGTGAGCAGGGCCTGCCGAGCAGCCTCTTGGCCTTAGGGTCGTCCCAGCCACTCAGGCAGCTGTGCCAGGGCCACGGGAGTGGCCTTTCGCCTCTGGGATTGGCTGGGACCCCGGGTCGGGGCAGGGGCTTCCCAGAGCCTGCGGTGGAAACCTGGCCTGAGCCCCTCCCTCCCCTGGGGAGGCCCGGGGAGGCCCCTAGGTGCCCAGGAGAGACTGTGTCTCACTGAAATGTGTCTGACTTGCTAAAGGCTGGTTAATCCATCCACAAGTAGGGGACAGTCCACGGGGCCGGCCCAGAGGTGAAAGCAGAATGGAGGGGGACGCAGCTGCAGCCAGCCCGTGGGGGGCGGGCGGGGGGGCTGGTGGTGAGAAGCCCGGACCTGGCCCAGGTCAGGCTGGGCCGAAGCCCCTACTCTGGGATGGACGCACTGAGGGGGGACGTGGATGCACAGCCGTGGGCTGGCTGCAGAGCCCGTGCCGACTGCGCTCTTGACCCGTCCACCACTGAGCCCCAACCCCAGCCCTGTACTCTTGGATTTTGAAGGGATTCTTTACAAATTAGAGTGATTGGTCCTTTATCTGTGGTGTGAGTTGCAAATGTTTTCTGACAGTTTTTCCTTTGTCTCTTTCTCTGATCGCGCTGTTCCCCCTGTGCAAGGCAAGTCTGGAGTAACAGGCTTATGTGGAAGCTTTATTTTGAGTACCAATTAATAATTTAGTTATAAGAGCCCACAAAATCCAGAGCTTGCCAATTACAGGAACAACTTCCAAAGACACGGGTGGGCAGCGCCCTTATGGAGTCTACTCGTGGTGCAAAGCCGGAGTAACGACGAAGAAGCTGGGAAACCGAAATCAACATGCAGAGGGTTTTAACAGCCTGGAATCAGGAGCTGAGTGTACAAAATAAAATTTGGTAGAAATAATGTTTTGTACTTAGGCTGAGAAACATCGATTCYATATGTTCAAGATGGGGGACATCTGCCTTCCCAGAAATCCGTGGATGTATTAACTTGGGTCTTTGTAGACCACACACTTACATAAAGTACAAGAAATGCTTTCCTAGAGTGACCCGGAAGGAGACTGTCCCGATCATGGAGAAGGTGGCCCCTCTGGGCCTACCCTGACCAGACCAGAGAAGCATTTGCAACTTACATCAGAGATGAAGGACTAACATCAGGGGCCACGGATGAGTAGAGGGTGGGAGGCAGCCATCCCCCGGGACTGGTCGGTCCTTCTGAGCGGGGAGGCCACTGCTTGGTGCAGCCTGGAGCAGCGTGGGCAGATGGGCCCTCTGCAGGGCAGCTGTCCAGCAGGTGTTGTGACCCCTGCCAGGGGCAGGCCTGCTTCTTCCCCTGTGGGCTCCTGTGGCCATGGGTCTTGGGACAGAGCCACAGGCCCGCCAGGAAGGGGGTTGTCCTGCGGCTAAGTGGAGGCGGTTTGGGCCCCGGGTTCTGTCATGTGGCTCGCAGGACACCGTCTTTGCTTCTTCCTGGTGTCCTCTGTCCRTGGAGAACGAGAGCAGGTGGGGAAAGGGCTTTTCGGCTGACTGAAGTAGATGAAAAGTTTTGGGGGAACTTGAGTCTGTGGGATCTGACGTGGAGCTGTGTGAGGCTTGAGTGGCAGCCGGGATCCCGAGCCCGTTTCCTGAGCGCAGAGTCTGCACCTCGCCGTCTATGGGCAAGGCCTCAGATGGGCCTCTGCTGACCCACCTGCGGTCAGTGCCCGGTCCTCGACCTCCCTCCCATGGCTGCTGAGAGCGGTGCAGCGTCCCCCGAGGACTGTACGTGACCGCTGCTTGGGGAAGCCAGAACTGCTCCTGCCGTGATCTGGTCCCACTGGTGCAGGAATCAGCTGAGGATGGGGCCCAAGTGCAGACTTTGATTCTGTGGGTCAGAGTGGCTCTGAGTTTCTGCACCTCTGGTAGCTCCAAGGTGGTGCCACCTCTTCAGTTCARTATCCCCCCGAGAAGCAGAGCCTAAAGCAGCACTCTGCAGTGTCCCCCATGGACACTTGTAATGGGGTCACTGCGCCCACTGGCTTGCTCAAAGTGCAGATTCCCAGCTGTACCTGATCTCTAGGACAGGAATCTGTAGTGGTGGCACCTAAAAACTGGCTTTTTGAATTGGTACATCAGGTGATTCTTAAGCACATTAAAGGTTTTGAATAACTGGCTTTGGGAAAACGGATAGGCCGGTTGTGAGTCATCTTTCTGTTACTATAATGAAATACCTGAGATAATCAACTTCTAAGGAAAAAAGGTTTGGGACTGAGCATGYAGTTCAGGAGTAGAGCACTTACCTAGTACACGTTGAGTCCCTGGGTATGACCCCCAGCACTGCCAAAAATCAAAAAAGCCAGCACAGTTGTGCATGCTCTGTCCAGCTTCTTGCTGTCCATGTTGGTGCTGCCGTTCATGATGACAGGCTTCCAGTAAGTTGGGAGGCTGAAACAGGATGATTGCAAGTTTGAGGCCAGCCTCAGTCACTTAGCAAGACCCTCAGCAAGACCCTGTCTCAAAATAAAAAATTAAAAGGAATGGGGAACTGGGCCCAGTGGTGCACATCAGTCATCCCAGCAGCTTGGGAGGCTGAGACAGGAGGATGGCGAGTTCAAAGTCAGCCTCAGCAAAAAGTGAGGCACTCAGCAATTAAGTTAGACCCTGTCCCTAAATAAAATACAAAGCAGGGCTGGGGGTGTGGGTCAGTGGTAAGCKCCCCTGGGTCAGATGCCCAGTATGAAAAAAGGGAAAAGGGCGGAGGATAAGCTCACCTTGGCTCTCAGTTCTGGAGGTGGCCGCGTTACTTTTGGGCCCACAGCAAGGCAGCCTACCGTGGCGGAGCAGAGGTGAAAGAGACGGGGGTTCTGTGGTCCCCTCCAGGGCACGCCCAATGCCCTGATCCTCCCATGAGTCCTGCGTCCGGAAGGCTGCACTCCTCCCAGTCGCACCAAGTGGAGGCTGAGCCTTTAGCACGGGGCCTTTCGGCTCTGCAGACCCAAACTTGGGGCTGAAGCAGAAGTCCTCAGGCCAGAGTGAGGGAGCCACACACGGGGGAGGGAGCACACCGGGAGGCCGGCTGGGGAGGCTGGCTGGGGAGGCTGGCTGGGGAGGCTGGCTGGGGAGGCTGGCTGGGGGCTGGCTGGGGGCAGCCTGGGACTTCCCGGCCGAGCCTCTGCTGCCTTTCTTGCCAGCTGCAGGCAGGTGATGTGTGACGAGGCCCCTCCTGTCCCCGGTCCTGTCTTGTTTCTGCAGCCGTCCAGCATGCTGTGCCCACCCCAGGCTGAGGCGCACTGACCATGAGCCTCAACTCCTCCCTCAGCCACAGGAAGGAGCTGAGCGACCTCCCCGCGGCGGAGAGCGGGCCCGGGGGCAGCGGTGTCCCCGAGTTCGTGGCCATCGTGGTCATCGCCGTKTTCGTCTGCCTGGGCAACCTGGTGGTGGTGGTCACCCTGTACAAGAAGTCCTACCTCCTCACCCTCAGCAACAAGTTCGTCTTCAGCCTGACGCTGTCCAACTTGCTGCTGTCGGTGCTGGTGCTGCCCTTCGTGGTGACGAGCTCCGTCCGCAGGGAATGGATCTTCGGGGTCGTGTGGTGCAACTTCTCCGCCCTGCTGTACCTGCTCATCAGCTCGGCCAGCATGCTCACCCTCGGGGTCATCGCCATCGACCGGTAAGCTGGCCGCGGGGAGTGCAGGGCCCCGGAGAGACAGGTCCTGGTCCCCGACTCGGACTCCCAGGCCTCGCTCGGGGCGGGGTCCAGCCATCTCCGCGGCTCTGGGCTCCTGGCCCGGAGCCCTGCTTCCCTTGCCTGGGTTCAGGTGGACAGTGGGCCCCGTGGGACACCCGGGTCCTCGTCGTCCAGGGCGGCAGCAGTGCGCGTCTGTTCTGTGCCGTGTTCTCCGCCGTGTTTACGCGGTGAYGAAATGGCCCGGTGACAGGTTCTCAGCATGGTGCCCTGTTTTAAGGGACGCGTGACTGCAGTTTTCTGTAAGCTCCGTGGCTTAAAAGCACAAAACAGAGACCGGCCTGGAGACCGCGGGCCCTCCTTTCCCGTGAAGCGCGGAGCCCAGGAAGGACAGGTGCAGCAGGCTGGGCCCGTTCCTCCCACGTGGCCCGTGGGCTCTCACTTGGGCAATGGCCCCAGCTTGACCGTGGCGCCCACATGGGGTCCCTTACTCCTTCACAGTGCAGGACGGAGGGGCAGCAGGGGACAGGACAGCCTGGGCAGTGCAGACAGCGGCACCGGGAGCGGCTGAATGTGCTTGGTTCAGTGGGGACCGTCCCTGCTGGCCCCTCTGGGCCCCACAGGTGCTGCAGACCCCGCTGTCCTGGCAGAGGTGGTGTGCAGGTCTCAGCCCCTGGCCAGGATCCACCTGGCCCTTCACTCCCCACGTGGAGGAGGAGGGCGGGTCGAGGTTCGTGCCATGTGGTCAGTGGCCGGCAGACCGGGGTGTCCGCACTAGTGCCCAGGCTCACTGGACCCTCGGGTGTTCGGTGGCGTGGTGGTGGTGGACAGTCCGTCAGGAGCACAGGCCTCCCCTGGGCGGACTCCTTGGGCCCTCTGCACAGGGCAAGGATGGAGAGGACGTCCGGCCAAGGAGCCCGCCAGCTTCTCCACGTGTCTGGTTTTCCCAGCGATGAGACAGAGAGTAAAAGGAGCAGTGCCAGGGACCTGATCCGCCAGGGACAGTCCCTGTTGCCGTGTTTGCCTCCAGTGGTTTTGGGTGGTGCAGTCGATTGTGAAATAGGCTCTGCACACATGGTTTTGTGGCCTGTTTTGTCATCTTCCGTGGTCTGCAGCTTCTTTGGGGTTGTGGTGCTCCCTGGGTGTGAGGTGCTCCCTGGGTGTGTGCTGCTCCCTGGGTGTGAGGTGCTCCCTGGCTGTGTGGTGCTCCCTGGGTGTGAGGTGCTCCCTGGCTGTGTGCTGCTCCCTGGGTGTGAGGTGCTCCCTGG